AGTGTCTGTGAGGCCTGGGGCAGCAGCGCCGGGGCGAAGTGAAACACTGTCCAGTCCTCGGGTGTCCGCACCGCCGTGGCCGTCACCGGCATGCGGCCCTGTGGCGACAGGGTCAGCACATCAGGGGCTGAGTGGTTGGGGGCAGCCGAGGGGCCGGTGTAAAACCAGAGCTGGGCAGAGGTCACCGCACAGCTCAGGGTGTGCGCCGAGGGCTGGAAGAGGTAGGTGAAAATCCCTTCTTCCTCCAGCAGCTTGTCCGGCTGCATGGGCTCACAGGGCATGTCTGCGGGGGGACAAAGATGCTCAGGGTGCGTGCCCAAACCCGGGGAGGGTCCCTGACACTAGGATGGAGGTGGGGTGTTGCAGAGGATCCCCAGGGTGCTGGCAGGTCACCCAGAAGCCGGCACAGGCTGTGGCAGGGTGCAGAAGCTGATATCTAGTGCTATGCAGCAGCCACAGCACTGCGCCCCACAGTTGAGCCCCGCTGTGCCCTGGGCTGGTCCATTACTGCTGACCCCGTCCCCCAGTGTCCTGCCCCGTAGCTGGGCATCCTGCCCTGTTTCTTAGTATCCCATCCCGTTTCCCAGCATCCTGCCCCATTCCCTAGCATCCCGCCCTATCCCACCCCATCTCTGCGTCTCCTACCCGGCCCAGCCATTCCCCTGCCTGTCCACCCTCTTGTGCCGCCTGCCCCTCTCCCTGCCCGTGCCCTGGGCTGCTCTGCCTGTCCACGCCGGCCATCCCTTTCCACCACCTGGCTCTCCACCGTCCCGCCATGCCCCAGCCTGGTGTAACCTCTTTCTCCCCTCCCCAGACCCCCTCAGCAGCCCCTCCATCCTGCTGTATCCCCACTGTCCAAGCCCTGACCCTGCTTCACCCCTCCACCCTCTCCATCCCATGAGGGCATTCTCACCTGTGGAAGGGAAGAGGATCACCTGGGAGGTGTCCTCCGGCTCGTTGAGCTCGACTTTGGTGTTTTCAAGGACGTCTCTCCGGTGCACCCTCCTCGCCTCCTTCTGGGGCTCCTCCTGGAGAAGCGGGGGGTTCAGATGCTCCAGCACCCGAGCCCGCACCTTGGCCAGGATGAGCTGCCGATCGGCAACGGCCCCGG